TCAAACTTTCTTAGGTTAGTCCAAAACCTATGAGTTGTAGTGACTACCTCTTCTTTTGCCTTACATCAATTAATTATTTCTTTTCTTTTTAAGGCAATCACTTTGCTTTAACTGTCATTCAAAAATGTCTTTATGAATACACACCATACCCTATCATCTTGGGTGTCTAGCTCTAAATCCAATAGGTTATAGCAGTTATTGTCACTATTTTCTTAATTTGCTAGTGAAATAGATGATTTAGGATGTTTTTTCAAATTGGTAAGGCAGTTTAAAATTCTTACTAATTTTTTGACTGCTGTTGCTGCTACCCAAGTTCACGTACATTTGAATGTTTTCCAATGCTGGGGCCACGTCACACTACTTAATTTACTAAATAACATCTGTTTTTGATACACATTACAACCAGTGGTGATATTCAAAACATTTAACAAAGGGTTCGCTAACAGAACATTTTTCCTTAACAATTTTTTTTCGCTCAGATGGTGTATTAGAAACATTAGCACAAAAACTGACCTTAAGATAGCCATATAAATAAAAAAGATGCGTTCGCAAAATTAAGTCAGTTAAAATTTAACATTTTTTATGCCAGAACTATATATTTTTTGATAAATAATAAAAAAGAGTGTTCAAAATAATTTGTTTTGTACATATTTTATCATGACACGTGTTCTGCAGCCGTCTTGTATTTTCTTGCACGTGTGGGATTATGGGATCTCTCTTATGACTGGATCTAGTTTCGAGAACTCTCGAGTCGATTGCAATTGAACCTTCGCTTCAAACTGTCGAGGGAGGTCGCACCAAGGCGAACGGGGTATAAGGCTCTAGTTTAGTAGTGTTACAGAGTATAATATGTATATTTTAATATATTTTTTAAAAGAAACAAAACCACTGAGAAATGTTACGTGTATTTAACAAGGTTCGGAAAACTTTGAAAATGTTAACAATGGGTTTGGCCGAACCTGTGCGAACCCACTGAATATCACCACTGATTACAACTATCTATAATCCTGTGGCATGTGGTGACATTCGATGGTAGGGAAGCTGTGCCGGCCCTGGATAGAATAATTGGAAGCATTATATGATATTTTGGTGTGTAGCATCCACTAAATCGCGTGAGGTTGGTGCTCTGTAAAGCACATGCACAAATTCATATAATCTGGCTGCTTTACCCGATTCAGATATTTTTGCCATGGAAGCTGTCCCATATTCGACAATATGGCACTTCCATTGGGAACATGCATATACAAATTTATATTTCAATATACAATAAGCAATCTTATCACTTTTTTACATGTATAGAAATTTGTAATAAGATACATAATGCGATTATAATAAAATATTAATTTTAAGTAATTCAAAGTACATTAAGATATGAAAATAATCGCACAATATGTATTTATAGTTTAGAAAATACAAGGGAAGTGGCACTTCCACAGCTTCCGTGGACAGCACACCACTGCTATAATCCATTGATACCACTAAATAAGCATGCATTGTTTTTATTTTGGGCTTAGAATTGTGCTTGGCAACTTCTGCAAATTGTAATTGTGCCAATTTTGGACATTATTATTATTATTATTTTTGGGCTATCTTTACTGTATTTTTCTATCTTTTACTGTTGTTTTCTGTACTGTTTTTCTCCCCTCTGTATGAGGAAGTTTTTTCAGCTGCTATTGTTGGGCAAAAGTCACCACTTTGGTAACTTAAAAGCCAATACTTTGGTAAATATTTATCAAACAGGTCACTACCACTCTCCCTATGCAGGATATAGTGTTGTTCCTCTTATGTTGGAATGATTGGTATTTCCACAGCCACTTTCAATGGGTGATTTGCATCACTATTCTTGCTTCCTCGATTATTCTTCTGCTTTTTCTCTCTCATCCACTACAAGCACCTCTTCTCACTTGTTTGAGCCTCAGGACTAGTGCCACTTGGTGGCTAGCTCTTTTCACTTCAATTTCTAACAATTGTGTATTATCAAATTGGCTGCTCTTTACCAATAAAAACATGGCTCTGAAAATAGCTGTTTGATTGCTAAATTACAGGAATTTATCTGGTACTGGTCGAAGATTGTTCTAGAAACACCCTGTTTTTTATTTGATTCCATTACCCCTTTTATCAGATCGCTTCTTTCTCTCTTTGGATCGTCTTCTTTTCTTACTTTTCTTCAATCTTTTCAATTTATATGGTCTTCTCTTGACTTTGCTGGTCTTCGATCTCCTCTTATATACTGCATACGTTCTAGTTAGCGTGCTATCTTCGCATAGTCTTATCATAGCTGTTTCTGTCTTATTTCTTACTAGCTGTACCCAGCCACATGTTGCTGTGGCTCAGTTTGGTTATATGGAAAAGAAAGAAAAGAGAATGCACACATTTATAATACAGTATGTTTAATTTCACAATGTTTGTGGGTATAAAATATTTTTTGTTGTTCCATTGTCTATGCAGATATAGAAATTGTCTGGTTTGACAATTCTAGAACACGCAACATATAATTGTACATGTGAGAAGCAGTCCGCAGATCTAAACTGCACAATTGTAAACATTGGCCCTGAGCTTTGTTGATGGTGATTGCAAATGCCACTCGAATTGGGAATTGCAATCTCTTAAATTGAGATGGCATATCTGTTGGAATCATAGGAATGCGAGGAATGAGGACATCTTCACCTTTGAAAGGTCTTGTCAAGATTGTTGCTTCTGCAACGTTGCTCATTAAATTTTTAAATCCGTGTGCCATTGCAAAGCTTTGGCTGGTTGATATTCGCAACATGATAATTGGCACGCCGATTTTCAATTGCAGTGCATGCAGTGGCATCCCTGGCAGATCGAGTGAATTCAAAAATTCTGTTGGATAATTAATCACTTCATCTGCTTCCACAACAGTGTCGACAGACTTGTATGTGACTGCCTCGCTTTGAATGTTAGACTGAATAATAATGTTAAGTTCGTAGATGTTTTTGTTCTTGGCTGCAAGAATAGCTCGTTCACTCAGTCAATCATGATTCTTATAATTGGTTTGAATATTGGATAATACTTTTTAAACCAATTCTTCTTTCTTCTTTTGACGTCACAAAATTGCATAAGTTATCAAGCAATGAAATTCGTCCCGAAGTGAGATCAACCATCACCTTTCCGTTCCCAACTTCCAGCAATTGATGTGAGAATATCTCAGCTGGTCAATCGTTTTGCAGCTGGACGTGCATATTTGTAGTTAATTTTAACGTCTTTACGTGTCACCACAAAGTAGAATATTTCAGGCAAGCATTTATTTCGTCCGCTGGTGTCGATCGAGGATTTACAGGTAATGTTTGCCTGAAATTTCCTGCAAGCAATATTAATGCATTCCCAAATGGTTTGATGTTTCCACGCAAATCTTACAATGATCGATCAAGAGCCTCGAGCGATTTTTTGTGCGCCATTGGGCATTTATTCCAAACAACAAGTTTGCATTCCAATTTTGCAATACTTTTCCCATGCCGGATGCTTTGGAAATATTGCAGGTGGGAGTTTCGATGAATTGCATGTTAAATGGCAATTTCAAAACGAAAATGAGCAGTTCTTTCACCTGGTAGCAATGTCGCAGCTATTCCGGACGACAAAAGAGCTAAGGTTATGTCATTTTGGGATCGAATTGCTGCCAAAATCAATGTAATTAGGTACGTTTTACCAGTTCCCCCTGGCGCATCTAAGAAGATGTCTCCAACTCCGTTATTGACAGTTTGCATTATTTGATCGTAAATACCTGTTTGCTCAAGCATTAGCTTACGAATATTTGATTGCGCATAGGACAAAAGATAACCCGTGTTGTGATTTTGTTCACGACGCAAATCTATTGATACATCAAACGAAGCAGCAGCAATCGATTCGGTGATGGCATTCACAATTGATTGAGAACTTTGTTTGCGATTTCTAAGCACAAATCTTCAATCATTATCAATACTTCGTTGTAGATTACTGCTGTGAAACTCATGTTCATATCAGGAGCGCGAATTCGGAATTACTACTCATGCGTTAAAGAATAATAGTTCGAGATCACATTTTAATGTCACTATAAAATTTGTTAATTAAAAATGGCAAAAAATAAGTACAAGAATGGTGAAATAGGCACTCAAATATTTCATTGGGAGACGATTAGGTTATTTTCATGCATTTGGCAGGATTTTTTGCAACACGTTTTATTACCCTCTACGTTTTCTATACGTCTAGCTTATACCAAATGCTCGCTTTTTTTAAATCTCGTCTGCCGATCGACGACTGCGAAATCGATTTTATAGACGTTAAATATTTGATCAATAATATAAATCACACTCGGCAGAACAATTCAAAATATATCATTAAACGCCTTTTTAGCTGTTGAGATTCGTTTAATTTTGGCAAACGTTTTCAGCGTATTAGACTATCTTCGGGTTAAATATTTAGCAATTTCGCGCACGGTTAACGAATGCGCGAGACTCGATAATGATTTTTTCAAATAAAAATCCAGCAACGAGTTGCTTAACTTTTCCGGCAATATTTGAAAAATGCGTGTGCGGCTCCATCTATTACGATATTTTTAATAATTATAAAATGGCAAAAGCTTAATTTTGGGGCTGGAATGGGTTTTGTAAAAATTGTAAATGCTAATAACCAGTAAAATGTCACCGAGTCCGACCCTATTGGAGATACACACGACCCCAACCCGTCGACCTTTAACCACGAAAATTTAATATCGTCGATTGTCGTAATAAACAAACCAGCCTGCAAAATTTCAGAAATTTTCGAACAAAAAGCGCAGAAGTTGTTAAGCGTCAAATAGAATGAAAAAAATCGTGCCCCACGCGCGCGCGCGCGCGCACTATCATGCCTACAGAAATTACTACCGAATATTTTTGCATTTCTCGACGTTTCGAGACGAATCCCGATTCCAAAAATTAAAAATATGGGGGTCATTTGTTGACCGATGGCCAGGCTTTCCCTCTTATATATAACATCGGAAAAGTAAAAATGTGTTTGTTTTGCAGGAACAGTTGGTCTGTACGTCATGCGGCTACGTAGTGAGCGAGGAGAACTTGCAGTCCGAAACGAACTTAGAAGGAACGACGTTAGTCTCGTCGGCTTCCAGACAGTCGGTGAGATTCAACGTAGACAAACTACCGAAATCCATTAACGTCGGCGGATACGAGAAGATTTGCGAGGGGAAACATACGGGTCTGGAGAGGATCAAGTACCTGAAATCCGTCTTGAATTTCGGCCAGGACACGGCCGACGAAATAAACGAACTGTACCTGAAAATGTTCCAAAACGAGAACTTCGCCCGTTGCAGCCTGCGCAACAAAATAGCTCTGTCCGGATGTTGCGCCTACGTCGTATTGCGTCGGCGCGGATGGCCCATTCTGGTCTCCTCCGTCTGCAACCTGTTGCAGTGCACGGCCTCCGAATTCAACCGGGCTTTCACTACGACGCGGGAGTTGACGGGCACGGGGGTGGCCACTCCCCGGACGGAAGAACTGATTCCCGTGGTATTGAAGAACGTGGATCTGGGAGATGAGAGGGAGCGGATCTACGCAAAAGTGTCCTCCCTTCTCCGACTGGCCTCCCGATGCTGGCTGACGGCCGGGAGGATTCCGCAACCCTGCATAGTGGCGGCCGCGTTCGTGGCCTGGAAGTCCCTGTCCCAGAAACGTCTGAACTGCAGTTTCAAGAAGTTCTGCGACGAGAAGAAGGTGAAAGAGTATTTTGTCACCTCGCGCAAGAGGCTCAACGAACTGAACGACGCCCTCTTGAAACTGGCGGAGAAATTGCCTTGGGTGGAAAAGAACGAGTTGCGCGTCAAACACGTTCCGTATCTGCTGGACGACGTGGACCGCAATTTTCCTTCCCGGGAAACGCAGTTCGAAGAGTTTCGAAAGGCGTCGAAGAGGAGGGCGGACAGAGAGGAAGAGAACGAAGGACAGACGTTTTCGGAAAATTTCGAGGACAGCGAGATCGACAGTTACATCAGAACCGAAGAAGAAGTGGCCAAAGTGAAAAACTTGGAAAAGAAACTCAAGAGTAATTCCTAGTAAAGTAAATATAATAACTACTTTTGTTTTATATTTTATTATCTACGCGATATCGTGTACTCGTAATTATGATCGTACAGTTTATTCGCATTTGTTGTAACAAAATAAACATTTAAACGATTTTCGTTTCCTCCCGGATAAAGGAACCGGCGGAAGAACTGAGTCCAGATAAATTGCCAATGTAAGGGATGACGACGTTATTTTATATCGAACGATTGGTATCTTTGAAACGAGAGAAGAGTAATAATTGTAGCTATTTGTCCTTAAATGGTAATTACGATAACACATTTTTCTACATTATATTATTTTAACCGTCATTTAAAGGTAAACGGTTAATTATTGTCCTCGTCTCGTTTCAAACAAGTTTCGATTAAGAAAAAGCATCGTCTCCTCGTCTTCGACCTTCGCTTTATTAATGTTTTTTGGTTGGTATAAATGTTATTTTACTGTATATATCGTTAAAAAGACGATAACTTCTCGCTCGTCTTCGGACCTTTAACGTACGAAAAGTATTTCTAAGGCATTCGGACAAGAACGTCGTGTATCGGAATAATCAAATGGACGATAGAAAACACTAATTCGTTACGAAAATAAAAGATTTTTGAAATAAGTTGTCGATAAGTGATTTTTGAAATCGTAATAACACGGAGTTTCCTCTGGTGGCAAACACCCGAAACTTACGAGGATTACTAAAAAAAAATTAGTGGTGAATGAAAATTATTTTAGCGGCTTAAAAGTGTCGTCGGTCACCGCGTCGTTAAATACGACAGATTTAAAAATCGTATCTGTAATTCCCGAAGCTCGTAATCCAACTTACCACAAAATATTGATCGATTTCGATCGTATACCGGTCGGTCCGATGGGAATATTGTCCGGGAACTTTGAAATGACGCGAGTTTCGGCGTTAAAGAGGGAGAGAAGACGAGGTAATTTTATTTCTGAATTACGGGCGTCGATAGAATCGAAAAAAGAAATAATAAAAGGGAGGATAGTTCTAGCTATTACTTAACGCGGTAAAGATAATTGTTAGAGATTAATTTGCGTAAAAGTGAATAGTGTTAGTAGTGTATTGTACGTAGAAGAAATTCAACATAAATGGAGAGAGATTACAAAGGCATTTTAAAGAAAAACCGGCTAGTGAAATTTCTATGTACGGCAATTGATTATAACTGTTTGTTGTGTTGATAGTTTTAACGTGATTTACGAGAATAGTATGCTATTTGTGACGTGTACGTTCCTCGAAGTAAAAGTCGTTTTCCTCGATTGGATTAATTCCGTTAACAAAATGTCTTCGATCGACAGACGCAGTAAACGATAAATTTTCGGCCAAGTTTAATTCGTCCGTCGAGAAAGCTAAATAGTCGTCGGCCATCTAGAATTGTCTCCAGTCGGATTCGGACAAATACGAATGCGATTAATTAGCACTAAGTATTTACGTCGAGTGCGCATAATTTATTTATTTACAAGTAAGTGGAAAAGTCCGAAGTGAATTGATTATACTGTACTAGTAGCCCGGGACGCCCCCTAGAGGGCGTTATTTACAAATTTCCATGAGGCACGGTTCCTTTGACTTTTTTGTTCCTGTCAGTATGCTCTACAGTTCCGTTAAAGTCCCAATGGTAAGATTTACCCTCCGAATGAAGGGGTGGCAACCCTCCAAAATGTAGCCCCTCTGTGCGAACAATAAAGTCAAAGGAACCATACCCCTACTCGCGACCCTTCGCGAGATATAAGCCCGTGAAAATTGGCTACGTCATTTCCGGTCACGTGACATCGTGGTCAAAAGGGAGCCTACCGCGCGAAAAAAATTAACGCGCGCTCGCCCACACGCTCATTCGCGGGGTAAATTCTGGCAAACAGGCGGTCACGTGACCCGTAGAATAATTTTCGGAGGGCTATATCTCGGGAAAGGTTGCGCATACGGGGATGGTTCATTAGACATTTATTGTTGGCACAGAGGGGGGTCGCCATTCCCTTCATTCGGAGGGTAAATCTTACAGTCCCAATCGCCTCATACGGATCTATATTTCTATCTATCAAACATTCTATAAATACTTTAAAATAGTTTAATTTGTTTATTTACCTTCGCTTGTAAACCTCGATTTTACCTTATATTACCTTAACTATTTCAAACCTTATCGTCTTACGTAGTGATTCAAACCTATCCGGTTTTTCGTTACTCGTCCCCTAGTTAACATTACATGCATTCCGTGACAATAATAAATTTCTATTACAGATATAATGAATTATTTATATTGTTATATTGACCAAATAATAATTTATTGGCCAAATGAATAATAATAATTTATATTGTTAATTTAAATAATAATTAAAATTGTTAATTTAATTTGAATGTTTGAAATATGACACACGATAGGGGCGCCTCTAGTGTCCGTTATCAAACGGTTACGGGACAGACGGACA